AAAAAATGTCTACTTAATTTCTTAGCCCCATTTTAAATTAGGTTATGAGGGTTTTGTTTTTGGTTTTGGTTTTGTTTTGTTTATTTGTTTGTTTGTTTGAGACAGGGTCTCACTATGTAGTTGAGACTGACCTGGAACTCACTATGTAGCCCAGGCTGGTCTCAAATGCACAGTGATCCTCCTTCCTCAGCCTCCTGAGTGCTGGGATTATAGGCGTGCACCAGCATGCCCGGCTGAGGGTTTTTTGTTTTTGTTTTTCTATGCACTTAAAGGTACTCTATGTATTTTGAGATTCAACTCTTTATCAGATAGATGTTATGCAAATATTTTCACCATTCCAAAAGATGCCTTTTCATTTTGTTAATTGTTCCTTTTGTTGTACAAGAGATTTTTAGTTTCATGTAGTCCTCTTGTCTATTTTTGCTTTTATATCCTGTGCTTTGGGGTTCAAAGCTAAGAAATCATTGATTATACCAATGTCATGGAGATGTCTCCTTATGTTTTATTCTAGAAATTTTACAGTTTTGGTATTACATTAAATGTTTAAACTATTTTGAGTTGATGTTGGTATTACATAAGGGTCCACTTTCATGATTTTGCATTTAACTATTTAGTTTTCCTAACATCATTTGTTGAGAAGACTTTCTGGTCTCCATTTTGTAGTCATAGTACCATCTTCAAAAGATTCTGTAGGGCAAGGTGGCTTCTAGGAAAGGAAAAGATAGGATTTATTAAAAAAAAATAATGGGAAATCTTACTGAAAGCAGCTTTTGCCTGTACAGCTAGGGTAGACTCTATAGTTAGAGCAATTGGAAAGACAAAAGAGAGAAAAACTACATCTGGAGAGGCACCAGTAACACACTACCATAAGAATTTATCATAAAGAGTTGACAGAGCAAGGAAGAAGCCAGAAACATAAATGATCAGGAAAACCAGCTCCTTCACCCACCCACCCAAAGGAGATAAGGACAGCAACCTAAGGAGTATTATTTAATATATAAAACACACACACATATGTTCTCACTTTAACATCACTATAGTATTGCTCCAGAATCAGACATGTCCCGTTTACTTAATCATTAACTCTAAGTTACCTGTCTGGAAGGCTTCCATCCCCACTTATCCATTACAAAGAGACAGTAAGAAATTAAATGGCCAAAAAGAATGTGGATAGAGGTGCTACAAAGTTAGGATCAAAGACAGCCAGAGAGCCAGTCAGATAGTGACAACTTCCTGGTGCCCATAAGGGGATGGGAGAAACCACTAGTCCTAATGAAAAGGAGATGAGGCCAAAAATCCAAGAGTATTCACTTCTAATGCCCCCTACTCTTCCACAGTAGCTGTCTGTCTTTTCTTTTCCTGTCCTTTTCCAAGCAAACTGTCTTATTTTAACTCTGCCTCTTTAATTCATTACTGTTGCTGGCAGTTGCATGTTCCAGATGAGGAGTAGTGCTTACATCCCAACCTGCCACAACAATTTCTGTGTACTCATTTGGTCTCTATATTTGCCTTTACATCAGTAGAAACTATTTTAATTACTGTAGCTTTGAAATACACCTTTAAATTAAGAAATGTGGTGCCTCAACTTTGTTTTTTCCTCAAGATGACTTTGGCTGTTTGGGTTTTTTTTTGCAGTTTCTTGTGACTCTTAGGATTGATTTTTCTATTTATGTAATTAGTGTCAGTATTTCCATAAAAAATGTCTTGAATCTATAAATCACTTCAGGTATTGTAAATGTTTTACCAGTATTGAGTCTTCCAATCCATGAACACAAAACAACTTTATATGCCTTCTACCATTTTATTCCTCAGTATCTTGCAAGTGTTAGTGTACAAGTCTTTCCATTCCTTAGGTTTACTCCTATGCATTTCACTCTTTGATGCTTTTGAAAATGGGATTATTTTCTTAGTTTTCTTTTTACATAGTTCATGGTTATGCTATAGAAAAGTGACTCCACTTTACTGATTTTGTATCCTGAACTTTAATGAATTCATTTATTACTTCTGATAGTTTTGAGGGATGAATTTTCATGGTTTTCCAATATACAAGATCCTACCATAGACATACAAAGATCAGGCCATATACATAAAAGATAATTTTACTTTTTATTTTCTATTTGATGCCTTTGATTTGTTTTTCTTTTCTTGATAATTTCTAGCACTATTTTGAGTAAAAGTGGCAAAAATGAATGTCTTATATGAAAGAGAAAATGAATGCCTTGTATGAAGGAAGAGCTTTGATTTTCCACTATTGAATGTTATGATTTGATAATATGTGAACTTTATTATATTGAAGTGACTTCCTTGCATACCTCACTTGTTGAGAATTTTAAAAGTACATTGATTTATGTCAAATACTTATGCTAATGAGATGATTCTGTAACTTTTAGCCTTCATTTTTTTATCACACTGATTTATATGCATGTGTTGAACCATGCTTGCAGTGTATGAATGCATCCTGTTTACTTATAGCATACAATCATTTTAAAGATATGCTTTTGCTAGTAATTTGTTGAGAATTTTTGGATCTACACTTATCAGGGATATTGGCCGATAGTTTATTTTCTTGCAATGTCTTTGTCTGGCTTTGGTAATTAGGTACTATACTTGATCTTAGCCAAAAGGCCAAAAAGTAATGGTAATAGGGTAATGCTGATTTTATAAAGCAAGTTTTGAAGTATTACCTGTCCAATTTTTCAGAAGACTTTGAAAAAGATGGCGTTAATTATTCTTTTATATTTGGAGAATAGATCAGAAAAACCATCTGGTCCTACACTTTTTGCTGTTTAGAGGGGTTTTATTTATTCATTCTAGTTACTTATTATTCATCTGTTCAGATTTTCTATTTATTTATATTCAATTTTGGCAGATTTTGTAATTAAAATTTTATCATTTCTTCATTGACACTCAATTTGTTATTTTCAGATTGTTTATAATAGTCTGTTGTGAACCATTTATTTTTGTAAAACCAGTTAAAAAGTGCCCCTTCATTATTTCTCACTTCATTTATTAGAATCTTCATTTTTTCTCTCTAAAGTTCTGTAAATTTTATCTTTTTAAAAAATAGCTATTTGCTTCATTTTTCCTATTTTACTTATTTCTAATCTTTGTCATATTTCTTTCTTCTGCTGTGGGTTTTGTTTTTATTTTTCTAATTCTTTGAGGTATTAAGTTATGAGATTTAATGTTGTCCTTTCTTTTTTAAGGTAGGCATTTAATTCAGTGTGCTTAAATTTGTGAAGATATGTTTTGGATCTAATATGTGATTTATTTCTAAGGTATTTTATATGTATTTGGGAAGACTATGTATATTACTATTGTTGGTTGGAATACTTGTTTTTCCAGAAAAATTTCTATATTTAATTGAAATATGTCTAGCAAGCCCTAACCTTGTTTGCTTTTTTTTTTTTTTTTT